GTTCTTCAAACTGGTTGTTTATCAGAATCACCTGGGAGCTCCCTAAATTACAGACGCCTGGGCCCCACCCCAGGCCTTTTGAGTCAGAATTTCTAGGGTTGAGCCAGGAATCTGTAATTCAGACACTCCCAGGGGATTGTGATGGGTCTGGAGGCCATAGTGCTCGCTTCCCCACCTGCCAGAGGACGAAGTGCTGCCTGGGCAGAGCACAGCTCGGCCAAGGGCAAGTCCTTCGCCCCTCTGACCACCGGTTTCCTCACCTGTCAGTGGGATGAGGATCCTCTCCCCATGGGTGATGTGGGAACTAAAATGAAGTAATTTGGGGGAAAGGCCTGGCACAAGCTAAAACATGTGATGCATGTTTGATGGCTCTAAATGCTGTGACAAACTCCAGTCTGGAGGTATGCAGGCTTCACATCCCCCAGCCTTGTTCCAGCTGCTACTCGCAGGTCCCTAGAATGGGCCCCAGTCTGTCAGCAAGACCCAGCCAGCTTCCATCTGTGCAGTCCTGCCCTCCCACCCACTAGTCCATGCGGCTTGGACAGGCTGGGGAGGTGACTGCCACCACCTTTCCCCAGATGGGACCCCACTGAACCAGGGGTGTTGCAGAGAGGAGTTCCAGGTGAAATTAGTTCCAGTTGAAATTATAGGAGTTTTCCTAAACTAATTACTTTGTTTTTTAAATTATAGGAGTTTTCGGAGCTTTTAGGATGCACATGTGCACCTCGAGTTTCTAAGAGGGAAGTCTGTGAAAGAATTCCCCTAATTTGTTTAACCCCAGGTCACCCATATGCAAAGCATTTTCAGAATCCAGTGTTCTGAGTCCCGTGCATATGGACAGCAACTGTTCTGTCTTGAGAGTGCCCTTTCCTTTTTTACCCTTTCTTGGGCATTCAGCTTACCTACTCCACCACCCTCCTGAGATCCTGCTTCCTTTTCCTGCGTCATTCCCAAGCCTGGAACACCAACTTCCCCAAATTAGGAGAGGTGTTAGGGACACTGGGCCCAGGTCCCGGCAGCTAGGCCTGGATGTGCGCTCGCAGCGTTCCATTCCACGGCTCTGCCCAGGCAGATCCAGGCGGGAGGGCAGTGCTGGCCCAGAGCCAGGCAGGGGCAGAGGGCCCGCTCAGGAAGCCTTGAGTGCCCCCGAGATGCCCAGCTGTCAGGGGTAACTGGGCTGGGGAGAGGGTCTCTAGGGGCTGAAGAGGTACTGGCAGGCATAGGGGGGTGGCAGGGAACAGAGGCGGGTTGGTCAGGGACTCAGTAGGCAGTTGGCCAGAATGCCCAGGGGCCTGCTCTCAGGGAGCACGGGGCCTGGGAGCCTAGTCCAGGAGCCAGGCCCTAAGTCAAGGATGGGGAAGAAAAAGGTCATCCAAGTCGCTTGTTTTTTTGGCTCAAACACACGGGTGGGGTTTTTGTGTGTGTGTGTGTGTTTTTATGTATTAGTTACCAACATTTAAAAGTTGGCAGGTTTCATATAGAAGTCCAGATACCTTGCTTCCCCTGAAAAATTGTGAGATCTGGAGACGCTGGCTCACACGCCCTTGAAGCAGCAGGGAGCAGAGGAGGGGCTGCCTTCTTTAACAGGACACCAGCCCTCCGCTCTGCCCTCTGCTTTGCTCCAGTCCCTGCCCTGCCCACTTGGCTCACGTGCTCAGCCTCTGCGGACCTTGGATTTTGCAAACCTGTTTGAAACTTTTGGGCTTGTTGGCTCTGTGAGAGATACCTCCTGGGATTTTGATACTTAGGGCATTTTTTAAAGAACGGGTTAATGTGTTTCACCAAAGCTTTAATTGTCTCCACTTCCCAAGAACTCAGAGGGTTTCCTTTAAAAAAAAAAAATTTTTTTCCCCTTTTTAAAAAGGTGAGAGCAGTCACCCATAACTGCTCCCAATAGCAATACTCACGTGACATTCATAAGGCACATTCTGGTTTGCAAAGCTGGTGCATTAAACCTCTTCAGTCACCGTGGGGAAAAAGCATCACACTGTGCAGTCCAATACCGTAGTCACTAGCCACACAAGACTATTTTAATTAAGATTAAGTATTATGTTTCTCAGATGCACCAGCCACATTTCAAGAAGGGCTTGATAGCTACACATGGCTCGTGGCTTCCATATTGGACAGTGCAGATGTAGTTTCCTTCAGGGCAAAAAGTCCTACTGGACAGTGATGACTTTTTTTAATATGTTTTTATTGATTTCAGAGAGAGAAAGGAGAGGGAGAGAGAGAGAAACATCTATCGGCTGCCTCCTTCACACCGCCTACTGGGGATCGGGCCCACAACCCCAGCGTGCGCCCTGACCAAATTGAACCCGTGACCCCCTGGTGTGTGGGACAGTGCTCAACCAACTGAGCCACACCAGCCAGTCTTGACAGTCAAATTTTATCGTTCCAATTTTAACGCTTCACGAATTTGTGTGTCATCCTTGCGCAGGGGTCGAATTTTAATAATTGTTTCATAGGCAATGAAACAAGTTCAGAAAGGTCATGTGACTAGCTAGTGTTCTGTTCCCAGTAGCAATGAGCAAAAGAGAGGGGATTTTTTTGTTTGCTTGTTTAATGGGAAAATGCCCTCTCTGCTACTCTTTTGAAATAATTTGAAAGAGGAAGAAATTTAAAACAGAAAAAAAAAAAATCCCCACCGTCCTACCTCCAAGATAATTACTGTTAATGTTTTGATTTCTTTCTAGATGGGTAGGTTTTAATACATATGTAGTTTAACCCACGTGTTTCAGTGTACTGATTTAGTTTTATTTCTCACTGCCCCAACCTTCACTGCTGGTTTTTGGACTCTGTAAATGATTGGGCCTTGCCCAGGACAAGGTGGTAGGGAGTCCCACTTGGCAAGGGACAGTGGGGAATTATCTGGTGTCAGTACTTGTGGGAAACTCTGTTCTCCTAAGTGACCCCAGAGTTTTCTTTTTCAAACATTGGACAGATTTAGTCAAGGAGCTGGGGCCAGGCTGGGTTCAGTCTGTGGCTCTTGGAGGAGAGTCTTCTGGTGGTCAGAAGGAACCCTCCCCCCCAACCCCGCTGCACGAAGGGCTCCTGGTGCTCACCTGGTCCACCACCTTCATTTCACTGGTGATGAGGACACTGAGGCCCAGAGGGGAAGGCACATGCCAAAGTCAGCTGACTGTGCCCCAGTTAGTTATTGCCCAGGGCCCAAGGATCAGCCTGCCTGGATTCAAATCCCGGCTTTACCACTTCTTAGGAGTTGGACCATGGGCAACATAACCTCTCTGAGCCTCAATTTCTTCATCAATAAAATGGATCACCAATAACATTCACCCAGTAGGGCTGTGGGAAAAGGAAATAATCTATATAAAGTATTTAGCACAGAGTAAGTGCTCTACAGCCAATGTGGGGTTTCTTAATAATGATAGCCAACCCAGTGTGGTTCAGTGGTTGAGTGTCAACCCATGAACCAGAGGTCATGGTTTAATTCCCAGTCAGGGCACATGCCTGGGTTGCAGGCTCGATCCCCAGTAGGGGGCGTGCAGGAGGCAGCTGATCAATGATTACTCTCATCATTGATGTTTCTCTCTCTCCTTCTTCCTTCCTCTCTCTGAAATTGATAAAAACATTAAAAATAATAATAATCACTACAGATTATTGAGGGTGTGTCTGTGGCAGGCACAGGTTGCTGCTCTACTTGAATTGTCTGCTTTATAGAATCCAGATGACCTCCAGATGGGGTACTGCTATGACCTCATCTTGCAATTAAGAAAATTCAGAGAAGGTTCAGAGAGGTGATGTTTCTTGGCAAGTGTGATAACTGGCATTCTCACCACCTTTAGATTCACAAAGGGCCCTCCCATTTATGGCCTCAACAAACCAGTGATGACTGAGAGGGGCATTTGTAATTACTCTTTGGTAGATGAGAAAGTCAATTCACTTGCCCAAGATCTAAACCCAGCCTCAACCTGAGGCTGCAGGCTCCACTGCCCAGTGGCCTGGCCTTAGGACCTGGCTCGCACCCACCACCAAGGGGAGTATCTGTTGGGCTGGCCAACTGCCAAGGATCACAGCACCACCAAGTGGTCTTGTCCCCATGTGCCCCTCATCTGGGCTGAGTTTTCTGCTTTCCTGCCCTCCATGAGAAGAGTCAAGGGCCCAACTTCATACAAGGCCCTGCCCCAGTGACTAGCAGACTGCTGCCTCTAAACCAAAACCAACAGGAGAAGTGGGCTGCTCTCCAGAGAGAACAACTATTTAAAAGAAGGGGGTGGGCCTGGCCGGGCGTGGCTCAGTGCTTGAGCATCGACCTAGGATCCAGGAGATCACAGTTCGATTCCCGGTCAGGGCACATGCCCGGGTGGCATGCTCGATCCTCAGTTGGGGGTGTGCAGTAGGCAGGTGATCAGTGATGACTCTCATCACTGATGTTTCTATATCTCTCTCTCCCCTCCCCTTCCTCTCTCTAAAATTAATAAAGATATATTTTTTAATAAATAAATAAAGGCGGCAGGGAGAGAGAGACCTGAAAGAGCACTCCAAGCCTGGTGCTCTGGGCTCTGCTTGGCCCATGGGTAGCCTGGGGCCACACTCAGAGCCTCAGCTTTTTCACCTGTAAAATAAAAGATCAGAGGAGGCAACTGGCTCTCAGGCCCTTTCCATCTGTGACACCCTCAGACCTTGCAGGGTGGACCACTCACCATGCATGTGTGCCCTGGAAATAGAGCTCACAGTGCAGTGGGGAGACAGGAAATTAGATACAGTGTGATAAGGTTCCCCTAAGGGTGACCGTGGAGAGCACTGGAGACAGATTAGGGCCCCAGCCCAACCTGAGGGTTTGGAAGGCTTCCTGGAGGAGGTGGCTAAGAACTGCAGGCCTAAGGAAGGTGGATGAGCAGGACAGGATTGATGTCAGTTTCTGGGCCTGCCCTTCCTGCCTGCCCCTGGGGCCCCAGTGGAGGAACCTGAGAGCTGGGGTTAGAGCCATGGAGCCTGGAAACTAGCATGTGCCTTGACCAGTGCCTTCTGGACCTTGGCAGGTGCAGCTGGTCCAGGATCCAGTGACTGGAGGGACCTTCGTGGTGAAGGCAGGTGCCGCCCAGCCCCCTTCCATTCTGTATTCCCCTTGGGACTTTTCTCAGAGCTCTTTGGGGAATCCCCTACTACTAAGAACTGTATCTGAAGCTCATGCTCCCTCCAAATCCAAAAGCCACTTGTCCTGCTCCTGAGCATACCCCCGGCCTCCCTGGCACACACACACACTACCTCCTCCTTGGCCAGGAAGGTGGAGGACCTGGATGCCACGGCGGAGACAGGGGTGAGAGCCAGGGCAGGAACTGGGCGGAGGCAGTTGCTCCTCAGGGTGGCTTCTACCCCTCATCCAGTTGTCCCCGAAGCTGGGGCTCTGACGTCCCCTAACAGAGCAGCCTCTGGCCTGTCCTCAGCTGATCTGCCTGCCCTGCCCCCTCCCTAGAGCCTGTCCAGATGTCACATGGCGAGTCGGGAGCGGCTCACCATCATCCCGCATGGTGTCCCCTACATGACCAAGCTGCTGAGGTACTTCATGAGTGAGGACTCCATCTTCCTGCACCTAGAACATGTGCAAGGTGAGGTGGCCTTTGGGACCAGACCAGGGGATCCGGTCTTGCTGGGGATGATGGCAGACCAGGCTGTTGTGGGTCTCTGTGTGGTGCTGAGGGGCAGGGGACGTCCTGGGGAGGATGTTCACATCCTGGCGAGAGGGCATTTATGCAGATGTCCCCTTTGTCACCATTTTCTTCAGCCTTGGCTCTTTTCATTTTTTTAGTCTGTGCCCATCCCTCAGAGTGGCCAAAGAAACAGTACATTTTATTGTACTATTCTCCCTAAAAATTAAAATTATGTGTGTGTGTGTATAATATATTGAACACTGGAAAACCCCCACCCAAACCAAGGGCATTAACAATAATTTACACCTCCGTAGGGTTTAAGCACCTACCTTGTCCCAGGTTGGGAGTCCTCTTTAGGTGGGTGAGAGGAAGGAGAGGTCACTAGGTTAAGGCTCCGGGAGGGAGGAACAGAGGCTAGGACCTGGAAGGCAGGGGGTCCATGCCCAAGGCAGAGGGTCGGCAAGATGGGACAGCGCCCTGGTGTCCATGCTCTTCTTCTCCTGTCCCCATGCTCGCCTCACCTTCCGCATGGCCCAGGAGGCACGCTCTGGTCCCACCTGCTCTCCCAGGCGCGCCCCCAACAGTCTGGGATCAGGTCTGGCTCCAGCCTGGAGGGGATGAAGGCTCAGCTCAACTCTCGCCTCAGCCTCCGGACCTCAGTGCTGCCGCTGCCAGGCCACACCCGCCTGCAGGACACAGTGCCCCTGGAGTCTCCTTGGACTTGTTGGAGCCTTTCCCTGGCCAGGGAGGCCCCACCCATCAGACCCCAGACAGAGGCTGAAGGCAAACCCTCAGCCAGGACCAGCACTTCCTGCTCCTTGGACCTTCCAAAGGCCCCAAGCAGCCGCCTGCGCCTCCAGTCCCAGCAAGGACCTGGCCAGAACTCAGACACGGGTTCCCCTCGGGGGCTCCCTTGGGTTCGAGAGGGTGCCGGCCGGGTGCTGGGGCGCTGTGGCCGCGGTGGCAGTCAGAGCTGCCCCTCAGCGTCTGGCGGGGCCGCCTGGAGTGTGAGGGAGGAGCAGGTGAAGCAGTGGGCCGCTGAGACCCTGGTGGCCCTGGAGGGACTGCATGAGCAGGGGGTGCTGTGCCGGGACCTCAATCCCCGGAACCTGCTCCTGGACCAGGCAGGTAGGTGCCCAGGCCTGGGGGAAGGGGAGTAGGCTGCCCTCCCCGACCCCACTGCTCAGGTGGGGGCCCCCAAAGCCTAAGACAGAGAAGGAGAGCACCCTCAGGTCGGGGTTGGCGGAGGTTACCTGCTCTTCCCCTGCCTCCCCCCAGCCTTTTCATACAGGACTCTCCAAGGTGGAGTCTGGGAAACAAGCCCCTTCGCCCCCAGGAGTCCAGGGCAGCAGCTCCTGTGAATACCCAGTTGTCCCTGGGCCTCGGCTCCATGCCCCTAGGGAGGCCATGCTTAGCCAGGCCAATGGCTCCTGCCTTGTGCCTGTTGGGGGAAGTCCTGGAATCCCCTCCCCAATGCCAGCTGCTTGACAATGACTAACTGCAATTTTTGTCCCCATTCCATCCCCCTGCGCACACACTGGACGGGAAGGTCACATTCGGCTCACGTATTTTGGCCAGTGGTCAGAAGTGGAGCCCCAGTGCTGCAGGGAGGCGTTGGACAACCTCTACAGTGCCCCAGGCAAGAAGGAAGGGAGGGCCTGCGCCCTAGACCTTGGGGGCCTTTGTGTGGGTTGAGCCTGGGGTGGGGCTGAGGGTGACAGAGGGGATGAGCTGTGTCTGGGTAGGATGGGTAGAGGGGAGACCTGCCTTGGGTAAGGTTGGGACATTTGTGTTCTTGCTCCCTCAGAGGTGGGTGGGATTTCTGAGCCGACTGAAGCCTGTGACTGGTGGAGCTTTGGGTCCCTACTATATGAATTGCTGACTGGAACGGTGAGTAGCTGGGCAGGGTATGGAGCTCTGGTAGGAGTCACTGAGGGCGGGATGGCCTGGGCTTAATCCAACCAGCCAGTGTCTGGGCTGAGGCTGCCTGGTTCCGCAAAACCTGGTCATGGGGTTAGGTATCCTGCCAGCACAGCTGCCCCCCACAGGCCATGAGAGAGACAGGGAGCCACTGCCACTCAGGCTGTAGACACAGTACCCCCACCATATGAGTAGCTATAGCTTGTGAGACTGTCAGCTTACATGGATGAGAGCTGAGTTGGGATGGTCAGGGCAGTTTCTGGAAGAGAGTGCCTGGGCCTGGGTCTGGAAGAAGGGTGAAATTTGACACAGCCCTTCTCCCCTGAACAGCAACCTGGGTCATCCCCTCAGCCTCTTCTCCCCACTGCTCACTTCCCACTCCCCACAGCCTTCTGGTCTGTAACTCCCAGACTTTGACTAAGGAACAGGAGAGAGGGCCTCTGGGATCCAGACCAGCAGCTGTCCATCCAGCCTGGGTCAGCCAAGAGCTGTTCCCCCTGCAAACACCCTTACTCAGGATGGCAGCCTCTGCCCTCTGTCCACCCCCGATGAGCTCAGCATTGCACCTGGGGCTGGTTAGATCAGATAGCAAGGGAAAGGCCAAACTGTATTTAAGCAGGAAATGGCCAGGGCAGATGCAGTGAGACCTGAAGCCCGGATCTGAGCAGTCCACCATGGCTCCCTCCTGCTTTTGTCCCATAGCGCAGGGCCTCTCAGAGCCCTGGCTGCAAACACCCCACAGAGTGGCTCTCTTCTCTCGGTCTCCTACCACCTCCCTAGCCTGGGGCTTCTGGCCTTCCACTTGGCCACTTCTTGCAGCTCCTCCTGGCCTCCAGATAGGCCTCTCTGCTCTCCAAAGCTGCATCCTCTGGAGTGCAGAGAGGTCCTGCCGCCTTCCTTTTACTGCAGCCCTGCCTTGGCCCTGGCGGTAGCATGCCATGGTCTGCTGTCAAATGAGTGGCCCATGGAGATTTTTTTTCTGTAAGGAGATAAGTTTCAATACTTTTCCTGAAATGCCTGCCCTGATTGCGACCCAAAAGCAATGCTTCTAGCAAGCTTGAAGCCAGGGGGACCTGGGTTTAAATCCTGACCTCAGCATCAGTCCCTTCACCTCTCTCAGCTGGCTTCATGTCTTTCAAATGCGGATACTTATATGTGCTGTGAGGGTGGTTGTGCAGTGTGGAGAATGGCTGTCAGGCATTAGCGGTCTGGCATACAGTAGATCCAAAGCAGAAGGCAGCGATCTACATGGTCATCACCCCCATAGAATGTGACACAGGGAAAAATAAAATCCTGGCTGCCGCTGGAGTGTACACTTTCCTGGGGTTGCCTCCTCAGAGGCCCCTTCCTGTGTCTTCCCAGGCCCTGTCCCAGAGCCACCCCTCGGGAATCCAGCCCCACACCCAGCTCCAGCTGCCCGAGTGGCTCAGTCGCCCAGCGGCCTCCCTGCTGACTGAGGTGAGGTCAGCCGGCCTAGAGGATGCGGCTCCTTGGCCTGAGGGTGGGTGCTGGGAGGGGAGAACCCTGTGTGTGAACAAGGGTGCTGCTACTAGACTGCTGATGTGGGTGCAGAGGTCACAAATTTCTATGTTGGCAGCCAACCACCACCAGTGTGCCCCAGGGTAAAACGGGGGTTTCTATGGGCTGGGCTGGGCTGGCAGAGAATGGACCCCCAGGGCCATGGTGGCAAGTCCCTGGAGGTCAGGCTGTGCCTCAGCAATGGGGCTAGGCAGGCCTGCCAGGCGCTGACTGGGCCTTTCTCCACAGCTACTGCAGTTTGATCCCAGCAGGCGCCTGGGCACTGGAGGAGGCGGTGTCAACAGACTCAAGTCCCACCCCTTCTTCAGTACTATCCAGTGGAGCAAACTGGTGGGGTAAATGGGGGTGGAGTGGGCAGTGGAAGTAGCTGGACTGGTCTGGATCTTCTCTCTTCTTTTCTCCTGTCATCCTGTCACCCCGAGCTGACCTCTCTAATCAGTGGCCCTCGGCAAAGAATGCAGGATGCAGGTCACCTGCCTTTCCTGCTTTGACCCCTCCCTTGGGCCTCAGAAGCAATCACCACCACTGCTGAGGAGGGGCCTAGGGAGTCTCCCAGCAAGCTCTTAGAGAAACCCTTTCTAGTCACTGCTAAGGGGAAGGGACAGGACAGATCTCACCCTGCTAGGCAGCTTGGGCCCCTCCACCCATCCTTCCTCCACCCTTCAGTCAACAGATACCTACTGAGTGCACACCTTGAACCCTGAACACAGACCTACCCCATTAAAGGGTGCCTTCTGTCACACTAGCTCTGAACTACTCGCTACCTGCCATGTTGTGCCCGACTTGGGACATCTCTGGAAACTTACCTCAGGATACTGATCCGCTGGCTTAGTGGACTCAAACCAAGGCTGCCTGGCTGATACCTTAGCCATGTAACTAGTGGCCTCTTCTATCAGACTCCTCCTGCAGGGGGTGGGGAGGCTGGGGGAACAGGGACGAAGTCTGTGGTGGGCATGGACTGAGGTTGGGGACAGGGTGGGTGATCCACTGCCTCTCCTGACCATCCCCCCTATCTTGAAATTTCAGACTTTGAAGAGCAAAAGG